TCTCTCTCTCTCTCTCTTTCTTCTCTCTCTCTCTCTTCTTCTCTTCTCTCTCTCTCTCTCTCTCTCTCTCTCTCTCTCTCTCTCACTTCTCTCTCTCTCTCTCTTTTCTCTCTCTCTCTCTCTGTCTCTCTCGTTTGCTCTATCTCTCCCTCTCGTTCTCGTGCTCTCTCTCTCCCTCTCTCTTGCTCTCGCTCTCCCCCTCTCCCTCTCTCTCTCGCTCTCTCCCATGTACTCTCTCCCATTCGTTCTCGTGCTTTCTCAGTCTCACGGCTCTGCTCACTGCGTGTGTCATTGCAGCAAACTCACCTGAGCCGCCCGGCTACAATCAGCCGCCGATGTCGTACGAGCAGGCGGTCAACGCGTCGCTGCCGCACAACGCGTCCGCCTCGTCCGGCTACAGCTCCGACACGAACCGCACGCTGCCGCACCGGCCCGTGCATCCGCTAAAGAGCTTCAGCGTGCCCGGCCCGCCAGAGGGCTCTGCTCCACGCACGCCGACGCCGAAACACATAGGTGCGCGTCACGAGGGAGAGGGAGGGGGTCGCGAGGGAGGGGGAGGGGGTTGTGAGGGAGGGGGAGGGGGTTGTGAGGAGAGGGAGAGTTGTGAGGGAGGGGGAGGGGGTCGTGAGGGAGGGGGAGGGGGTTGTGAAGGAGAGGGAGAGGTCGCGAGGGAGGGGGAGGGAGTAGTAATGAAGCGGGAGAGGTCGCGAGGAGGTGGTTGTGAGGGAGCAGGCTGTTGCAAGAGAGGGGAGCAGTAAGGAGGGGGGGAAGGTAGTGAGTGAAGAAAAGTAGAGGAGGGGAATTGTGTTCTGTCGCAACAAGTTTATTTTTCTCTGATGTTTTTTTGGCCATTGCATTCATTATTCATTCTCATTAATGCTAATAATATTCCAATGATTCTACTTCGGCGAATTATTTAGGTGACGATGTTCGAATCACATATTGAAAAAACTCAAAAACTTAATCGCATGTTGATTTATTCTCAATGCTCTCATGATCAGGGTCCTTTTTTTCGCCGAACAGTTTTTTTCCGCCGCCAGCTGTCACTGTGACGTTACTCAGTCGGCGACATGTTTCTCTCACAGTGAAACCGCAGCCGGTCAACAGTCCATACAAGAAGCCGACGGTGATCGTGAATAGCACTCCGAGCAGCGCGCAGGCAAGTGGCTCCATCTATAACAAGCCGCGCATGAGTCCGATGCCGGTGGTGATGCCGCGGGCGCCGGACGGCGGAATGTTGCCGGCGGATTTCCGACCGCCACGGGCCGAGGACCCGGAAAAGATCAACAATGATGCACCCAATGTAAGCATCGGCTAGCCGGCGTTTTTGGATTTTCGAAAACGGGAGGGGGGTTGTCTCCACGCGGAGTTTTGAAACTGCCACGGTTCAATGACCGGCGCAGGTCGTGAGATTTTTTTTATTTGGTGCTGTCTGGATGTGTTTTGGACCTCGTTTTTTTAGGGAATTGTTCCGAATATAATCGGTTTTGTTGAATGAATATTGGCAAACTAAAACGTATTTTGATGAGTTATAAAGGGGTAGATTCTATAGAAGGGGTCGGGTAGGAGGCTGCCCCACCATTACATAGCTGAATATACCCTATGTAGCAATTTATTGTACATAATAATAATTGTAGACATAGGGAAATGCCTGATTGTATAGTAGTATTATAGTAGTTTTATAATAAATTTATAATAGATTAATAGTAGTTAGTATTGTAGATTTTATATTCCTGTGCATCGTTAACCTAAATCGATTCACCGATCGTATAAATTGCGAAAAATTTCTCTCGCGATATCTTTTTTTCCCACTTTAGGATAAACAGCTAGTAATATCAATTTTCTTTAAGCAGTTTGTGAGAGCTTTGCGCATACCTACTTAGCTACGTACGCCAACGAACTCTCGCTGAACTTTCGCCGCCTGTTTGCACTTCAGAAGTCCTGCAGCATCGAAGACATCTCTCAGGAGATCACCAACCTGGAGAGTCTCGTGAAGGACCTCAATGCCATCACCGCCTCCGAGTTTGAGTGCTAGAGGGCAGCAGCGTCAACTATAGAGGGCAGCAGCATCAACTATAGAGGGCAGCAGCATCAACTATAGAGGGCAGCAGCATCAACTATAGAGGGCAGCAGCGTCAACTATAGAGGGCAGCAGCGTCAACTATAGAGGGTGCTGGCAGTCGGTAACAAGGTCAATGCGTGAATGCGGGCACATGAGCGTTGTTTCTGCGCTCGCGCCGGGTTTATTATGTGTAACGTGGTCGTCATCTCTGATCGAGTATGTAACCTTTATTTTTTATTTTTTATCGTGTACCGATATCTACATCTCCGCGGAGCTGCCGCTGCGTGCTCATGGTTGTACGGATGGTTTCGGATGGTTCCGCGTAGTTGTGGATAGTTCTGGATAATTCTTCTGGATAATTCTGGAATATTCCAGATGATTCCGGAAGATTCCGGATGGTTTCTGATGATTCTGGATGGTTCCGGATGGTTCCAGATAATTTTGGATGGTTCCGGATGGTTCCAGATGATTCCGGATGATGGTGTTAACATGGGAACTGCTGGTTATTTGCATCGCCTTGCGTGGGATTATGTACAGGGTAGCGATCCGACAGTTACACACGACTGCCGGGGATAAAGAGAGAGAGAATGCGCTGCGGTGAAGATTTGTAATATACTACTTGTCGTACATAACGTGACTGTAATATAAGTCGTCTGTTGAAGTCTCCGGTTCAAGACCCGGCACAGTTGATAAGTTGTAAGGTTGTTTGTGTGTAGGTGGGGCGTGGTTGGTTGTGTGTGTGTGTATTCAGCTACGAAGCGCAGGCATATGGATGCGGTCAGGTCATATTGTCAATAGGTCCATATTGCAGATAAGACTGCTCAACATACTCACCTCACTTCTTCACGATAATGGTACCTCCCACGTCTTCCTACTCTTCCACTTCAGGGGCTTCTCCTTCCCTCTCCACACACACACGCGCACGCGCACACAAACACACACACACATGCACGCGCGCGCGCACACACACACAAACAAACAAACAAACAAACATTATTGATGATAATAACGCACATCTCCTCTGCCAGATCTTCCCCAACACCCCAAAGTCGCATGGTTGTGAGATTGCCTCTCTCATTTCTCCGAAACAGGAATGTATTCACCGCCTCCCCCAACCCAACACACACGCGGTGAACGATGGTGGTGAACCTTTATGAGTGGTTTCCCATCATTATATTATCATCGGCTGCTGCATCCATCCCAGCGTGCGTATCTACTCCCAGGTTTGACCGCTGGAGGGCAGCACGTACTTGTAGATAGCTAACATAAAAGATAACGCGCGAATCCTATACCTGTTGTTCAGGTAGATTGTATAGCTGACGTCGCATGGTGTACCCCCTTATTTATATACGATGATGAAACATTGCCATATACAGTACGTATCATTATTTTATTCGTGTATGGAAGTTTTTCGTGTCCCTATGTCGTGTGTGTGTGTGTTTATTGTGTATACGTACACGTTGTGAACAGCCGTATATATTGAGGGGAGGAGAGGGGGGAGGGGAAGAGTGGGGAGGGAAGTGACGGTGAGGGGAGGGAAGGGAAGAATCGAAGGGGAGGGGACGGAAGGGGCGTGTGTGAACAAACCTGAACAGAGCAGAAGAGACGTTGAAGAATTGTTAAGTTGATCACAGATTGTCTTGTTTACACTCGGTGTTTGCGTTTACTCATCACTATAGTAACATACTGGTTATATATATATATATATAAATTTTTGATGTTGCATTGAGTGCGGGAGAATGACACGAGCGTTGAGCTTCTGTGTGTGTGCGTTCGTGCGTGCGTGCATTACTGTTCGTGCATATGCATGACTGTGTGTGACAGTGTGTGTGTGTGTGCTTGCATACACGCACAGGCGTGTGAGTAATTGTGTGTGTGTGCGCGCGCGTGTGAGTAAGAGTGTGCGTGCGTGCGTGTGAGTAAGTGTGTGCGTGCGTGCGCGTGAGTAACTGTGCGTGCGCTTGCGAGTCGCGTCGCGGTGTAACGAGTTCTTTTCAAACGAACAGGCAACACGTCGTCGAGCCACAGTACGCCCGCGAGCACGGTCGAGCGCGACAAGCCGCCCCAGGCCGGCGTGACCAAGGTGGTCAAGCCAAAACCCATTATTATCCCTCTAGATCCGGCTGCTCAAAGGCCTCAGCCACGCGAACGTAAGTAGGAGGTCGGCTGCCGGCTGCCGGACACCCCCTCCCCTACCTGATGCACTCCAGCTTTATGTGGATTCACTCACACGCACTGCAAGCCCCCGCTGCTCGGCTGCTGTTGGCTAACACACCATGGCTTTTGATTATTTACAGGTCACCGCTGTGTACTACTACTACTAACTAACTTTTCTTCGCGTGCTCGCTCTTCCGCTGGCTTGTTATCACTGTGATGGTGATGGTTTTGTTGTTGTTGTTGTTGTTGTCGTAGTTATTGCTTTTTATACTAATACGTCGTTGTCGGGGGTGACGCGGCGGCGGCGGCGTCTGTTGCTGGGAGTCTTATGTGAGAAGGAGGATCAGGCAACTGTTGTTTTACTTAACTTGTTAGCGCCTCTCTGCTTCTGCACACTGACCGATCTTTGTTTGCTAACTCCTCCTTTGGACACTGACTGGTCTTTTTCGACTAACTCCTTTTTGGATACTGACTCTTTCCTTTGTCCACGACATTGGTTCCTCCCTGAATACTGACCATTTTCTTTGTCCTTTACATTAGATCTTCCCTGAATACCGACTCCTTTTATTTTCGTCCTCTAACCTGGTTTCCATCTCAATATTGACTCCCAACTTTGTCCCCTTCATTGGTACCTCCATGAATACGGTCTCCTTCCTTTGTCCCCTACATTGGTTTCTTCCTAACCACTTACTCCACCTTTTGTCCCTTACATTGGTTTCTTCCTGACCACTGACTTTATACATATTATATATATATATATATATATATATTTATATAAAATTATATATATAATGATATATAGTAAACAAACCATCGTCGGACCGTATATAGCATAGTATGGCAGTATTAGTTGTATTAGTAGTTGCTTTATGATAATAAATAATGTTATAATTTCACAAAAAATCTCTTGACTTTTTAAACGAACCACCGTTGGACCGTATATAGCATAGTATATATAATAAATAATATTACAATTTCACAAAAAATCTTGTGACTTTGACACTCGCTCTAGTGGTTATTTACGTTCACTAGGTTTTTATTTTAATATATTTTATTTTGCTCTCCAAAGGGTAGCTGATCCCCTTGCCCACCTCCCCCTGAGGCTGCAGCCCTGCGACACTCTGTGCTTTGCGTGTTTGTTTGCTGACTGCTGCCGGCTTTCCTTGCAGCTCCGCACACTGCGCCTCGCGATCTCACCATTGTACCCGTCGAAAACAACCCGACAGCGATCAACCTCAACTGGCAACCACCCAAGGTGCCCAACGGACAGATCACAGGTAATCACGCTGTCGTGCTGGTGGGCCCGGCAGGTGCGTCGCCTCCCACCTGCAGCTGTCGCATCGCTGAACCCTAGCTGTCCCCTCCTGACTGACGACCTCTTGCTGACCTTCTGGTGACCCCCTACTGACCAATGACCCCCCTGCTAACCCCTACTGACCTCTTGCTGACCTCCTGCTGGCCCCGTACTGACTTGCTGACCTCTACTGATCTCCTGCTGACCTCTACTGATCTCCTGCTGGCCCCTGGTGACCCCCTACTGACCAATGACCCCCCTGCTAACCCCTACTGACCTCCTGCTGACCTCTACTGATCTCCTGCTGGCCCCGTACTGACCTGCTGACCTCTACTGATCTCCTGCTGACCTCTACTGATCTCCTGCTGGCCCCTGCTGACCCCGTACTGACCTGCTAACCAAATGATGACTTTTCGCTGACCCAATTGAGGGAGGAGGAGGGAGTTGTGAGGGAAGGGTGGGGTGGTCGCGAGTGTGGGGGAGAGGGTTGCGAGGAGCTGGTTCTGAGGGAGCAGGCTGTTGCCAGAGAGGGGAGCAGTAAGGAGGGGGGGAAGGTAGTGAGTGAAGAAAAGTAGAGGAGGGGAATTGTGTTCTGTCGCAACAAGTTTATTTTTCTCTGATGTTTTTTTGGCCATTGCATTCATTATTCATTCTCATTAATGCTAATAATATTCCAATGATTCTACTTCGGCGAATTATTTAGGTAAAGATATCTAAAAAACTCAAAAACTTAATAGCATGTTGATTTATTCTCAATGCTCTCATGATCAGGGGGCCGTTGTCAGAAACAAAATTAGTCGCAACATTAGTCTTACCATTAACTTCCACTCGTAAACCGTTGACAGAAACATCGTAAGGTTACGAGAACGAAAAATCGTCCCAAATATCCTCATAACATTACGAGAGCTCAGACCCTCTCGTAACTTTAATATAAAGTTGAAAATAACACATTTACACTACGAATTACAATTATAGTGATATTATATTTTGTAATAATGAATAAAATGTGTGTTTTTCTTGAAAAACACATCAAAATCATTAATTATCTACCGCTAATAAAACAAAACAATACATTTACAAATGGCGTATGGCATTTGTTCTCTTGTTCTAAAGGTTTTCCACGCTTGCCACGACTCTCGCATCTCGCGTTACAGTGTGAGAATTTGTCTTGTTGTGCAGAATTAATTCATGACCACGGCGTTTTTCATCAAATATTATTTATATGTGGTTAGCCATCATAATATGCATAAATTACTGTGATGTACAATAAATGTGTATGAATTTGAATTTTGTGATTGATTCTCATCCAATCAGCAGTCTTGTGATGAAGTTCCTGTTATCCTAAGTTTTCTAATACTGTAATAGCTGCGATGTGTTTCTGTCAACGCTAGTCTCGCAACATTAGCATTAGTCGTAAGTGTTATCGTAGCATTAACTTTACGATGTTTCTGACAACGGGCCCCAGGGTTCTGTGTTCTCCGAACAGTTTTTTTCCACCGCCAGCTGTCACTGTGACGTTACTCAGTCGTCGACATGTTTCTCTCACAGTGAAACCGCAGCCGGTCAACAGTCCATACAAGAAGCCGACGGTGATCGTGAATAGCACTCCGAGCAGTGCGCAGGCAAGTGGCTCCATCTATAACAAGCCGCGCATGAGTCCGATGCCGGTGGTGATGCCGCGGGCGCCGGACGGCGGAATGTTGCCGGCGGATTTCCGACCGCCACGGGCCGAGGACCCGGAAAAGATCAACAATGATGCACCCAATGTAAGCATCGGCTAGCCGGCGTTTTTGGATTTTCGAAAACGGGAGGGGGGTTGTCTCCACGCGGAGTTTTGAAACTGCCACGGTTCAATGACTGGCGCAGGTCGTGAGATTTTTTTTATTTGGTGCTGCCTGGATGTGTTTTGGACCTCGTTTTTTTAGGGAATTGTTCCAAATATAATTGGTTTTGTTGCTCAAAATGAATATTGGCAAACTAAAACGTATTTTGATGAGTTATAAAGGGGTAGATTCTATAGAAGGGGTAGGGTAGGAGGCTGGCCCACCATTACATAGCTGAATATACCCTATGTAGCAATTCATTGTACATAATAATAATTGTAGACATAGGGAAATGCCTGATTGTATAGTAGTATTATAGTAGTTTTATAATAAATTTATAATAGATTAATAGTAGTTAGTATTGTAGATTTTATATTCCTGTGCATCGCTAACCTAAATCGTTTCACTGATCGTATAAATTGCGAAAAATTTCTCTCGCGATATCTTTTCTCCCACTTTAGGATAAACAGCTAGTAATATCAATTTTCTTTAAGCAGTTTGTGAGAGCTTTGCGCATACCTACTTAGCTACGTACGCCAACGAACTCTCGCTGAACTTTCGCCACCTGTTTGCACTTCAGAAGTCCTCCAGCATTGAAGACATCTCGCAGGAGATCACGAACCTGGAGAGTCTCGTGAAGGACCTCAACGCCATCACCGCCTCCGAGTTTGAGTGCTAGAGGGCAGCAGCGTCAACTATAGAGGGCAGCAGCTGAGAGAGCAGGAGAAAAAGACTTTGACAGTTTTATTTTTAGCTGTGTAGTTTTACAATTCTACTGATACAACTTGCCTATTATTATAGCACAAACTAAATATGGAAGATTGGTAGGAGAGAGAAAATACAAAAATAAGGGTAAAAAGTGGATGCGAGTGTCAAACACCTATCTATATGTGACGATTCCTCTCGCCCCTGTGTGTGTATCCATCTGCACATCGTGTTGCCATGACAACAGGGTAATTCGAAACCATAACAACACGCTGAGGTGTGCTACTGAAGTCTGTTTGTTTCCCGATAACTCCCTAAATCTATATGTAATCATTTATGATTGCATAACAGGAACTGTAGGGTTCTAATAAAGGACGTTGTAACTTATTACTGTCGTGTGTAACCCTTGTGAGACATATTTTCAATGGCAGTAAGTCTAGTATCACAAGTTCATTACGTTATCATGCACTGGCGACAGTATAGGCCCTAATGTTACGAGTGTATAAGCCCCTGCAAGGACATATCACTCCGGTGACCGTCACGTGTGTAAATGACGCTCTTGTGTCGTACTATGTAGAGTCCCTGTATACAGACTAGTACTATGGCTGGCCTAGTACTATGGCTGTGGATGCAGAGTAATACTCTCGGTACTGTAATCACGTGACTTCTATATTTTCCCTCTGCTGTCACGTGAGGAGTTAAACTTTGTGTAAGTATCATGTTTGCGTTCGCAGTGTTGTCGTGTTTGTTTCCAACAGGTCTACGGAACAACTATTTAAGATGCTCGCGAATTGATTGTGTGTATAAACGAAATTTGTTGATGAAAGCACGACGTTGATCCGATTTCGTCTGTTTCCATTCCAAATGATGGTGGAGCTGGATAGAGTGTCACCAAGCACTTTGTACCACATATATATATATACCAGTTTAACCCCTAAAATTTTAATAATTTTGCCATTAAAACCTGATAAATGTTACTTGAAGATTGCTGTAAAGTTCAGACATTCAAGATCGTTGATAACAGCTAAATGGAAGAGAGGTTGAAACTTGTAAAATTGGAATATCTCGGAACCAACTTCGAATTCTAAACCCATTTGAAATCGTAGAATCAATTTTGTATACAATGACACTTTTACGATTAGTTGCTCTAGCCTACATTGTATGTCTATGACTATTTGCTAGTGCCTGTTTCCTTAGTTATTACATCTGATCTCCCAGCATAGCACATTTCCCGTATACTGTTAATTCAAGAGTACATTAGGCTAGTCTAATGTACTGTCAATTTAGTGAACTGACTGTTTTGAATACCTACTCTCCTCATGCTACCCTATAATATGTGCTGTATAACAACATTTTCCCGGCATGCCCCCTTTCCCGTGTTGGTCCGTTGCAAAAATACTAGAAGGTAGCTGCACGATTTAAACTCAAACAGTTCAAATATTTGCCATGCCATAAGGAAGAGGTGATAAATCCATAGCAATATGTGCTTGATATGCATAATAATGTGTGTATCGTGTATTTCGGATGGCATACCATTAGATGTAGGTTTCGATGCTGATATATATATATATATATATATATATATATATATATATATATATATATATATATATATATATATATATATATATATATATATATATATATATATGTATCGCTTCCATGTTTGTTCATGCTTGTAGTAAGAGAGTTTCTTCACTTCGGCTTGAGTGCTTTTATCGTGAGCCATTTAACAAGCAAATCGCACTGCGAAATGGATCTGACTCGTGAAACATTTGCGAGCGTTAATCTACGTTCTAGTGTTTCTGCATCACGGACTCCCCTTCTGCATTTCCCTTCCCCAGCAACTCGCCCCCGCGACAAGTTCGTGCCGTGCTTGCCGTGTGCTAAGTGCCTGTTCATTTCTCTTGCAGTTTACGGTCGAAATTCAGGCAGTCCGTGGGGGGAGTCACAGCCGCATCAACCCAACGGTAACCCAGCAGTGGCCAGCCAGGCCGGCGGCCAACCGATCACCCTACTAACCATGTCTGCATAGAAGACTTGTCACTAACACCTGTGTGTGTCGGGGCCCGTGCGTGTAACCCCTCCCCCTCCCACCTGCCTGCCGTGCACTAGCTTCCCCTGCTGGCAGAGATATACTGAGGATGTCTGATCACGGGACGTGTAGCAGTGTTGTGCCGATGCTGCTTGCTTGTTTCCGTGATGAGTCCTTCTCTATAGACAGGGGAGGGTGTTGGCATCGATAGCAGTGGTGCAGTGATAGTATTTTGTCTTCTTCTTCATCGTCGTCTTCTCTTTCATGTTGTTTTCGTCATCTTCTACTTCTTCTTCGTGTTCTTTTTTTTCATCATCATTCTTCTTCTTCTTCTTCTTTTTCATCATCATTATCTTATTCTTCTCCTTCTTCTTCTTCATCTTATTCTTCTCTTTCTTCTTCTTCATCTTCTTCTTCTTCTTCTTCTTCTTCTTCTTCTTCTTCTTCTTCTTCTTCTTCTTCTTCTTCTTCTTCTTCTTCATCTTCTTCTTCTTCTTCTTCTTCTTCTTCTTCTTCTTCTTCTTCTTCTTCTTCTTCTTCTACCATTACTTCTTCTTGTGTTCTTCTTCTTCTTACTGTATGACACCTATATCATTTACATACCTATATAACTCCGTGTTAGTCGTAGCATCACGGTGTATGTGCGTGCGAACGCTATATCCTCAGTAGATGCAGTGTCTCGCTACGTAGATCCAATCTAATCTCATTTAGCTTGAATTGCTTCTCTATCGTAGATGTCTAATTATGTGTTATCAAGTGCTCACGGTACATGCGTGTGTTGTGGGCTCTTGATGGTATAGTTACCGGTAGTTCTACAGTAATTAGGCCTTACCGTAATACCGGTAGTTCATTACCGTAAGTTTCTAGTCTTGATGGTATAGTTACGGTTTGTAATATTATCTTATACATATATATATATATAATATGTATATA